CTGTCTGTCTGTCTGTTTGTTTGTTAACGTATCACGTTTAAAGTACTAATTTATATCATAAGAATTGTTAAGGAAATTATAAAGTGTATCTTCGGGTTACATTTAGTCTTTATTTCATTAAAATCGGTTCATTCCATCAAAAGTTATGATAAATATTCTGAAGTATGGGTAGGGAATTTGCTCAACGGTGGGTTTGTTTGAGTCATCAAGTTGATGTTAGCAGCGCCATCTCTCTTCAATTAAATATATACATATAATAAAAATGATGATAACATGTTGTGTCTCTTTCTGTACATTGTATATTTATTTTGGTGACTAAAATCATTATGGGGAACTAAAAATAATTAAATAAGTACATTTTTATAATTTTTAGAATTGTCTGTCTGTCTGTTTGTCTGTTTTATATGAATGCATCACGTCTAAAGTAAACATCTTTTTTTTTCAAAGAAATCATTAAGAAAATCATAAAGCGTATCTTCAAGTTACATTTAATCTTTGTTTTATTAAAATTGGTTAATTCTATCGAAAGTAATGATTATTATTTTAAAATGTAGGTTCGAATTTGTTCAATGGCGCCATAAAAATCTCAGAAATAGTAATAAAAAGATTTGTGTGTAAAAAAACGTTCCATAATAATTAATATATTTATACTTAAAACATAAAAAGAGATTTAAAAAAAGGATGTTTTCTCACACAAAGGACGTAATAGATGGAGTTGTACAAATTACAAACTTTTCTGATTTGCTGTGTTGAGATTTTTCGCCGATGAATCGTATTGAGACTTACTGAAGAAATTTGTATCTATCGAAGCCATACAACGGAACCCGAACAAATATAACAAAATTGCAACGAAATGTCGTGATATTGTATTTATAATATACGCAAAATCAGTACTGCCATTTTAGCGCTTTGGGAACTAGATTTAGCGCTTTTTTGGAATGTATAGCGCGCATTTCGAAATTTTAGCACCTAGCACTTAATCCAGCGCTTTTTGGTGTATTTAGCACACATTTCAAAATTGTAGCGACTAGCGGGTTACTCTTTTATAGCAGCACTGTTAGTCCACATTACCGATAATAATAATAATGACCTTTATTATTTTTTTCCACAAATAGTACATTGCAGTTTATCTTTTTCAAACATATTTTTTCCACAAAACAAAGAGCATGGGAGACGAGTCCAAACTAGGATACCCTGTGCTATGGATCTCCCGGCTTCCCCTTTAGGATGATCAACTTGATTTTTTTTATCGACGACTATAAGCGGGGAAATCCCCTTCATTAAAGTTTTCGTTCATGGTTTTGGCAACGCATTTATTTTGCTTTATTCAGTTTTAGTCAGTTGTTTAGAGCACAGCTAAGTTAAAAGTTACTTAGAGTAGTACTAACTACTGTTGACAGCAATTGCCATAATTATAAGTCGATGTCCTGCGAAGTATTGATACAGCAAAAAATATTGCCAGAAAAAAACTTAATGTTGTTTTCTTTATTATGATTATATTTTCTTGAATTATAAATTATAATAAAAAACACAAACTTTGTTTGTAGTTAATTTAGCGCGAAATCGAGGGCTTTTTTAAAGCGCTGTTTTCATGAAATCTAGCGCTTTTTGTGTTGTCCTAGCGCTGAATGAGTTTTTTTGATCTGGCAGCACTGCCAAAAAACCCTCTATTAAGAAGTAACTTTCCTTTCAGTTTTAAGCGCGGTCAGACAAATTCTTTATGTAAAATCTATATACGCGAGCTACGCCGCGGGCACAGCTAGTATGTATAATAAAGTTATATTAGTAACATCATTATCGTGTTTATTTTATTCCATTTTATATTCTCATAAAATACTTCTACTAAATAATCTTCGTACGTAATACGTAATCTTTATTATATCGATTTATTTAAATTAATCAAAAATAGTGATTTGCACAATTTGATTGCGCGCAAACGCACGCCAGAAACTGGTATCACTGAATGGCGTGTATGTGTGCGTGTGACGAGCGTAGGCACCATAGATAATATACTATATAGGGTAGTAGGCACATACAACTTTATAATTTGTGGTAGGCACCAGGCTGGTGCAACCACTAGGCACTAGGCACCTTTGCTAGGCACATTCTAGTTCGACTCGCGCCCACTAACATAATGACCAGTGTGACCATATGTGGCAGGTTCCTGCCATTTTGGCAGGATAGGCCTCTTATTTTAGCCTCTGGCATGATCGGTTGACGTTTTGTAAAACCTGGCAGTATTTGACAGTATTGGGGTATTAAAAATAGATTTCATTATGGCAACTTAAAATGACGAAAATGGCAACCCTAGATAATTGGTTAGCATGTTGGTTGGATTTCCCTATATTTCTCGATTTCTCGTATTATGTTTGTATCACATTCAATAAACAACTTTAATTTTTTTTGTGTATAATGTTGACAATCTTAAAACGAATTTACACGAGTTGGTTAATATTTCAATCAGTCATAAAAGAGACGTACTTTAGTTCGGTATCGCCTTGGATTTCATAATCCACGTAATATTATTAACAAGATGTTAATGTTAATAATATTTCGTAGACGATATTAATTATAGGTGGCGGTGATGAAACGAAAATATGAAAGGCCGTATAGAGGGAAGTGGGAGCAAGATCTTTTACTTTCATCATGGATCTCCTAAGCTAAAGATGATCCAGTCTGTGTAACTGCAAATTGGCACCCCGGCTGTCCGCTTTAAAGGAGCATGCCGCTACTAGTAAACATCAAAAAATATGAGTGGATTCAACATGCGAAAGAGTATTCTCTCAAATAAATTTAATTAAGACAAAAACACGAAACAGATTTATAAACAAACATTTACTATCTATTTTGTACGTTAAACAAGGCATTGGTGAGCATGGCGGTTGCATTGCATTCAAACCAACGAAAGATTTGTTTAAATTTAAAGAAATATAGCATTTATATATGTATTTTTACTTTTCTTAGTTTGATACAATGGTACATAAAGTTGGCAGTGTTTAGGCATTTTTCACTACAGGCTTTGGCAGGATTTGGCAGGTTTTTAACCAAAGTAAGGCAGGATCTGTATTTATAAGATGGTCACCCTGATAATGACTGCATCATTTTACATTTTAGCTTGCTACATATATATTTATCTATGCATTTTACCGCTCGTGTTTTGTACTGGACTGCGTTTCTATGCGTAATAATTCTATGCCCTGGAGCCATGCTAGAAATATACATTTATAGTATGCAAATATATAATAGAGATACAATAATCTAAAAACTCATTTATGTAGGTAGGTAGATTTTAGACATTATGTTGAAAATATATTAAGCTAACATCAAACAACCACAGAACGCATGACTTTTTCCAAGTGACAAAGACATAACCTACGAAGTTTCACATCTAAATATCTTTTTTTGACGCCTTCTCAGGACAAAACTTCTTTGACAGAGTTATTAAGGGACTGACGCTTAACATTTTAAGATATATTTGATATATAGACGCTACCATTCCTTCTCAACTAATTTTATGTATGAAAGTCTGCCATTGTTCTTTCATCAAAATCGGTCCAGCCGTTTAGTTCAGTCACATACACACGGACAACAGAATTAAATAATATAATATGCATGTTTGTTACATGTCCTCCAGACCGAATTTCGGTCACGGCGGCCAGCCTCAACGTAGACTAGCCATCGGCGCAGAACAGGGTTATAGTGCCCAAGTGTATGCGCAAGCACAGGTGCACTCTCTATTCTCTCCCTCTCATAGTCTGATGGGACAGTAAACCGACACGACCGGAGGGAGATCAGGCGCAGAACCAACGGCTTTACGTGCTTTCCGAGGCACAGGGGTGAGACATCACCGACTTCCTGACTTTGGGCAGCTACTGAGAATTTCTTGATGGGAAAACTAAATAACTGAACCCGCGACCTCATGATCAGCAGTCGCACTACTACAATCACTAGCCCAACGAGGCAACGAAACAACCTTCCTCTTCAATAATTCTGTCTATTGATGAAAACCGCATCAAAATCCGTTGCGTAGAAGCGATTTTGTTTTATATACTATGTAGAGTATTATAATTATTTGTGACCGAAATTCTATCTAGAGGACATAATATTATATTTACCTTGTGTTAGTGGTTTAACATGTTGATGATGAGATGAAAAAAATAATGCTAAAAAGGAAAATTTGAAACAAATAAACATTAACTTTACCATGGCAATATATTTATGTAAATGTAATGTTTGTACCTACATACATAAAAACATGAATACGTTTGATAAGAGTAAAGATTTTAAATATTAGCAACAAAGAATTTTTATTGACCTGCACATAAAATGAAGTGTGTGGTGCGATATTTTGTCCATAAAAATACAACTCATAATAGATGATATAACTTATCATCACTACAGTCCATCACAAGTCCACTGCTGAGCGTAAGTTTCCCCCCCAGTAATGTCATAAAGCAAGTTCCTGAGCCACCTGCGTCCTTCTTCGTGCCACTCTCAGCGGTTCTTTATTTCATCCAATGCACTGACCTATCTTCCCCAATGACGTAACTCATGTGTACAAAAATCATCATAATATTTAAATCCAACTCAAAATTGTCAGCATAATGATTTCTTATATTTACACGAACGCTACACATTGAATAAAACTGTTTTTTACGGATTTTATCACGTTTATTCAAAATAGACAGCATAGTATAGACAAAAAAAATATATGTCCCAAGTTTAAACAATTTCATTATATTGCTGTTCTTACACGAGCATTTCTACTATATAATGTTCCTTTTTTCTTCTAATAAGTGTTAATTCTATGTCAAATTAGACAAAAATAAATAATTTTATATTTACTAAAAATCACACCATTGTTACGAGTGACCAAAGGTGATGTTGCAGAAACGCTGAAGAAAGAAGGCAGAAGTTTCACTTCGCACGTGTGTACACATCTACACACACAATTTTTTTATTTTGTTTTTCCCATCAAATTATTTGTTACATAAACAAAATTACTTAAAACTTCTTTTAGCCTTTTGTTCCGCAGCGTCGCTCGCTTGTACAAATGTTCTCTTCAGCTTATTCTTTCTGCTGTCTTTGTAAGTTTTAGAAACCTTCTCAGCTAGCTTTGCTATTCTTTTCATTGTTTGTGGAGGGTATCTGAAAAATTACTTATTATTTTTGTTGAGTATGTGTCACTAAGAAGCTTAAATTAGCTTACGGTCTACCGTGAAGTTATCAACCCACTTAAAAAATAGGAGATTCTCAATTCAACTGATTTTTTTAAATGTTTGTTACTTCAGTACTTCTTTCTAGGTGAACTGATTTTGATGATTCTTTTTTATATGAAAGCTCAAGCTTCTCATGTGGTCCCATATAAATTTGAAGAGTGAAAAGTAAAGTGGAGGCCTAAAAGTTTCAGTAGTAAACATTTTGATTGAGATTTGGATACAAATTAAAACAAATCAAATGATAAAACAAGTGGTAGGTAAACTTAAAAATGTTGTACAACCGACTTCAGTATAAATTAATAACGATAACTCAACCTTTTTTATTGATTTGTATGGCACCACATGGGAAGCACCAGCTTTCAAGTGAGTTCCTCCTCCTTTATGAAGTCAATTAATAACCAAAATGATCAGAGAGAATACTAAAAGTGATATTATTGCTATACAGAAGTTTCTTTGAGACAACCTGAAAGAAAGAAATAAAAAAGAGAGTTTTTACTTAAATATAAACTTTCATATTGGGGTTAGGTCACAATAATTCTGCCAATGTCCGGTCTATCATCTTGTTCTGGTGATTTTATTTATTTAAAAACTTAAATGTAACACCTTAAAGTAAAGGGTACATAGGGAGGACTTAATGCCATATGGCATTCTCTGCCAGTCAACCCTGGGTGCCAAAGACAATTTTGTGATGTGGTGATGACCCTTATTTAGAAAACACACCTGCATCCCAAAAACTCAATGTTGGTGAATAACTGAGCTAAAGTGACCAGCTCAGCTTCTTCAAAGCTATCCTTATGCTCCAGCATGAAATTACGACGAACTTCCCATTGCTCGTCAGATTCGTGCTCTGTACGTAACGATTCCACGTCTATAGTTGGTTTCATGATTGCAAATTACTTTTAAATTATATTTGGCTCAAATTAATAGCATATTGTTGAGACTAAACTTGTAATTTTTGAGAAAGTTTGTTTAGTAATTTAGATTTTTTTAATAACTGACTTTACGGCTCTGGGTTCTAGCCCTTCTGAGCCTGAAGTTACAATGTATAATTATGCTCACAGAATACTTTACTCCTAGCGGAGAATTATGCTTCATAGCCTTCATAGTACAATCAATGCTTCACAATATGTTGATGCGTGACATTGTACAGCCCTCGGGAGATTTAGACACCTTATCTTGAAAATCACATCACCATCAGAGCACTTGTTTCACCGTTTCCACTAATAATTCACATGCACAGACATTTAACATACAAAATCGCACCACTTTCACGTATCAAAGTCCGCTTTAAACCATTATTTAAACAATAATACAGGAGCAGCAATCCGTCGCCGGTCAAGTTCCCGCCAAAACTCCCTTAGTAATTTAGATTTTAGAAACATGAACGTATACACAGACTACCATAGTAGATTACAGTATATACTGCATAGATAAATAAATATGTAGCAAGCAAGCTATATTATATACTGCGCAACACTTCTTACTAGTTTGTGGTATTTACTCAGTAATCTATGAGATTACATCAGACTACTAAGAGGAGGACAAAAGTACTCTATGGAGGAGGATACTGCCACCATAGAGGATTGACTAGTTAAAGCATTCGCGTATGCTTTTGAGAAAGAAATAGGCGGGAGGTACTTTCCCTGGGTTACCAAATATTTTTCAGTTTCCCCCGTTATGGGTTTATTTATATTAACCGCACTTAAATTTATACAAAAAACTTATTTGTTACCATAAAAAAATGTTCTTTTATAATTCTGATGATTTATTAATTTCTCTTGAAAATACATTCTGTGACTAAAAACTACGGGCGGAAACGGCGTAAAAACAGAATCATCATTCCGAATTCAACATCGCATAAACGTAGTGATTATATTCTCTTTGATCGCATCGACGATTTTACTGGACATTCAATACACTCTGAATTTCGACGGCACTAAGTGAAGACGCCACTAGCACAGAATGTGATATCGCTAATTAGCAATATGTTAAGTATGTACTTAAATATTAATTAAGAATCAAAAAAATTTCCTCGTGTCGAGTATTGTTTTTTATAAAATATAAATTCAATAATGTTTTAACATACCAGTCCGTTACAAGTTCAGTGCTGAACACAGACCTCTGAAAGGAAAAGGTTTCCACTTAGTTTTCGTAGTACAAAACACAGATCTGAGCCAACTCCCGCGATTTCCTGCATGTCTTACTAAATTAGTGTCTTTTGTGTAACATCCATCTAATCTTCAAGGGTGGTGATGGGAATCTGTTTACTAATTATCGCCCTTTGCAGTGCTTAGTGCCTTATCCAAGATTATGGAACGTTTAATCAACAGGCGGCTAGTAAAATATCTGGAGCACTGTGATACTATCTTATCCCAGCAGTTTGGATTTCGTAAAAATAAATCCACTTATGACGCTATTCACGAACTACTTTCGTTGTTACTAAGTTTAATCACAACAAAAAAGTCCTGAAAATATTCTTGGATTTAGCTAAGGCTTTCGATACGATTCCAATCAACACTTTTTTATTAAAACTAGAAAATATAGGCATCAGGGGCTCTCAACTTGAATTTTTCCGTAGCTACCTTTCAGGCCGGACTCAAAAAGTAAAACTAGCTAACCACATGCGTGATGAACTTTCTATATCTTACGGTGTGCCCCAGGGTAGCATACTCGGACCTATTCTCTTCTTGATCTTCGTTAATGACCTCTACAATCGTAAAGTCCATAATTCTAAAATAGTTTCATATGCTGACGACACTACTCTTACCTTCTTTGCTGGTACTTGGACTGAACTCCAAGCAATTGCGCAAAGTGGCTTTAACATCACATAAGATTAGCTCCGTGCACACACTCTTACTTTAAATACAGCAAAAACTAAATTCGTTACTTTTTCTATCTCTCCAATATCACAACCAAAATTCCAATAAAGTTAATAGCCCACTCACGTAATTAACAAAACGAACAAATTTGCCACTGTCCCTCTGTTAATCCGGTTGATACAATCAGATATCTTGGCATAACTCTAGATACAACTCTAAATTTTAAAGGCACTTTGAAAAATTAACTTATAACCAACAATTCAGCTCTACAAAAATCATAACGTTCTCAATGTAAGACAATTGTTTATGTTACAACATCGCAAGGTCCCTTATATCGAAATTACAAAGCGCCGTAAGGACAAAATCTGCAGTATTCCGACAGTCAACTCTCAATTTGCTAAAATGTTTTCCCGTATCTCGGTCCCGTGCTTTATAACAAAATCAATTTTAATATTCCCATTTATGAACTATCTCATTACAGATGTAAGAAAGCCACGTGTACTTCTTCCTATTAAACAAGAGTTATGAAGAGACAGAGCAGTACTTATTAACAGTAACAGACTAACTAATTTATATTATATCAGCATAATTATATTATGAGATTGACACACCAATAAACGCACGCACGCACGCACCCACACACCCACCCACCCATCATTCATCATCATTACAGCCCTTCACAAATCCACTGCTGAACATAGGCCTCCCCCAAGGAATGCCACAAAGCACGGTCCCGAGCCACCTGCATCCATTGACTTCCTGCATGTCTTAACAAGTCGTCACTCCATCTAGTGGGGGGACGGCCAACTTTTCACCTGCCGGTACGAGGATGCCATTAGAAAACCTTTCTTTCCCATCGGTTGACGGTTCTTCGAGCTATATGGCCGACCCATTGCCACTTCAGCTTACTAATCCTTTGGGATATGCCGGTTACTCTGATTCTACTGCGGATATCCTCGTTTTTAAGTCTATCACGCAGAGAAACGCCGAGCATACCCCTCTCCATAGCTCACTGAGCGACTTTGAACTTCCTCATACGGGCAGCAGTGAATGACCACGTATCAGATCCATTTTGCATTTCATTCATTTTACAATCTAGTTTTGAGGTATGCCTGACGAGATGTGTCGTGATCTCCCGAACGCTGCCCAGTCGAGTTACATCCGTCGATTGACCTCTCGGTCGAAGTTGGACCTATCTAGTCGGAATATTTGTCCCAGGTAAACATATTCGTCCACAACTTCGAGCTTAGTGCTCCCAACAACTACCGAGGCATTCCATCTTAAAGGCGAAACGAGATATTCCATCTTAGTCCTCATGGGACGCATCTGCATTTTGATTCGTAATCGAGGATAGACTACGAGATAGAGTTGCTGTGACCCATAGACTTAAGGAGCACACAGTCCACCTAATGGTAAGTGGTTGCTGTGGCCCATAGACATTTACATTTATCCTCGTTTGCGAATCAAAATGCAGATGCGATGTCACCAGTGAGGACTAAGATAGAATGCCTCTTTTCCAGTAAAAAGGGTCTCCGATTCTCTACACTCACCATACGAAACATAGCAGTGTTAAGCTGGTATTCTGTGAGAGCGTGGTCCTTCCCCGGTCGAGCCGACCCATTCGTGCTACAACTATACTACTAATATAGCTGCAGCATGGCTCTACCACGTAAATATTACCAAAATGTTGTTTTGGTAATATTTACGTGGTATTTTGTTATTAATTTAAATGGAATAATTGTCAATATTATAAACAGAAACAGAAACTTTTTTTATTCAATATAGATTATTAAAAAAAATACTTCTTGAAAGACACTCTTTTGTATAATTACCATTGCACTGCACTATATTAAAAACTAATAACAACAATAATTGAAAATATTACATAATAATAATATTTTAAATATATCGCAATATTTTATTGTAAAAGGTGACAAAATTCACTTCGAAGGGAAAACAAAACGCTTAGGAGAGATGCTTTAACCATAGTTATCATGAGCTATCTGTCTTTTGTCTCGGCTAGGCTCTCGAAAATTACGATATTAACTGATTGTAAAGAATTGAGACCGACCGTTAGGCGCCCTCATTATAATCTATGGAATTAATGCACCTAGTTTAAACAGTCTCCTTAGCCGGGCATTCGGGGTCACCTGTTTTGTGGTTGCTCGGGTTTTTAAAACGCAGGCATGTTGCACACTTCACTGGATCAGCTTTCTTAATGCAGGCATTTGACTGATGTCCTAATTCACCACAATGTTCACATGTGTCGATGATTCCCGGCAGGTTCTTGCAGCGTGTTTGTACTGTTGACATTTGAAGCATCTGATCACAAGTGTGAAGACTGAGCACGATGTCCAATTTATGAAGACTCGCTCCTGGTTGATAAGCGCCTTTCTGATGCCAGTTGGCACTTACAAAATAAAGTGGCATGAAAGTGCTTCCTTTTACCCGATTCATGAATTAACTTTATAGAGGACAAAAAAGATTCCCGTGCTAAATTAGGGAGCTTATCGGTGAATGCAATCAAAGACTTCTCGTTCACTAAGGGCGGCAGGTACACCTAAGACTATGATCCTTAGTATTCTTTATGGGACACTATAAAGAATACTAAGGATCATAGTAGACAATATAAGGGAGAAGAGGCCTACGTTCATATATAGGTTTGACTTCTACTGTCAACTTTGTCAAAAATACGAAAGCACTTATCAAATAATATCAGGGAAATTAAGTTAATATCCCAAAGCCACGGAAATTAATCTTATTTACTGTATTATTCGGACAAAACCAATGCACCTAAGATTAACCAAGCGCATTTGGCTGCACCTAATTGTTGTAGTCGGCACGTGGCCGCGCTTCAGCTTTTAGCTGTGAGATATATATAAAGATTAACTTGCATTTGGTTCGAAAGTTCAATCAATCATCATGATCAAGTTAAAGTATCGCCCCGTGGGTGTCGTAAGAGGCAACGGAGGGAAACAAACGAGGAGATGGGCAGCAGCGTCTTCCTAAGAACCTACCTGCACGGCAGCTATGGCAAATATCCCCCTATGAAGCAATCCATGGGGGAAGCCTATGTTTAACAAGGGATTATTAAAGGTATGGACATGAAGGTCTGATCTGTTTTCACTTACCTCGGTTTATATTTTAAGGTTAATTTTTTTTGGTATTTATATTAGCTTCTTCTGAATAAATGCAGTTTTATAAATTCAAAAAAAATGTTTTATCTGAAACACTTTTATATTTATACATAAAAAACGTTTACATAATATGTACATATTTTAACAGATCTTTCACGAAAAAGGTTTTGCTCCAGTGTATATTTTCCATGAAGCAAATACAAAGAGGAGACGTTGTAATTAAATTTCACTATGTAACAACGCGTGACAATTTGCGGGGTGAGGGGATTCAAAGCCCCACCCACTTTACACTATCTACATCTACTGATAAATAGTAAAAATACTCGAATCTTTCCATATCGATGTTGCAATGTAGCTTAGCTACCTTGACGGTAGATGGCGGCATGTCCACAAAATGTTATAAACTATAAAAATAATATTATGGCGATTAAAATTTCTTTATGTCTGAATGCAAAACAAATTTAAGCACCTTCGTATGATTATTTTACCAATACTGAGCTCTACGGACCTTTATATTTTTAGTTCACATGACACAAAGTGTCGCCATCTAGTGTCGAATATATTTAATTATATTTGAAAGCCGACGCAAAGAGATTTTTCTAGAACTAATTTAATAAATTAGGTGTACAATTATTTACAAATGAAATGTGAGGCCATCCATAACATCAGAGCGTCTATCTGAGTAGTTTTTACACAATAAAACACAACACTTCATCCTTATCTTGTTAATACTACGAAAATACACCGATTTGTGATTTTTTCAACACATAAGCGCACAGGACGAATGCTGACAGTATACTAACTAAAGCCACGCCCACTATGATGACGTCAGGACCTACTTAGAATCACAGTGCACAGTTGCTTATGCCGTCTCCCCTTTGTATTAGCTTCATGGTATTTTCATATGCATTTGCAAAGTACTTTTTGTAATACCTACATCTAAATGACATGAGAAAGGTTTTTCACTGATGTGTATTTTTGTGTTCTCAAATCAATTTTTAATTAATTATATTCTGTGAATATATTATTAATTTATATTCACAGAACTAATACGATTTTTCTCCAGGGTGTATTTTTAGATGCCTTTGCAACTGATCTTTTCTTATACATCTAAAATCACAGATATTACACGAAAAAGATTTTTCTCCGGTATGTATTTTCATATGCCTTTGCAAACTACTTTTTGTAATATATCTCAATCCACAGATATTACACGAAAAAGGTTTTTCTCCAGTGTGTGTTTTTAAATGATTTTTCAACTGCTCTTTTCTTATAGATCTAAATTCACAGATATTACACGAAAAAGGTTTTTCTCCGGTATGTATTTTCATATGTGTTTGCAAATTACTTTTTTGAATACATTTAAATTCACAGATATTACAGGAATAAAGTTTTTCTCCAGTATGTATTTTCATATGTGTTTGCAAACTTCTTTTTAGAATACATTTAAATTCACAGATATTACACGAATAAGGTTTTTCCCCGGTATGTATTTTCATATGCATTTGCAAATTACTTTTTTTAATACATTTATAATCACAATTATTACAACAGTACACTTGTTTAGCGACGTGCGCTTTAAGATGTGCCAAGATACAACGTTTTTGAGATGTTTTAAATTCGCAAATATCACAATTAAATATTTCCGTTAGTTGTGTTACTGGAGTTTGTTCACCTTGTGGCACTGCAGTTGTGTCCGAGTTCTTTTGCGTCTCATGACTGTATGAAATATGTTTGGCGAGAATGTCTTTTGTTGATTTTTTCGTAAGTATATTTACACTCTCTCGTTTCAAAATGTTGTTTTTTATAATCTTTGTAGGATACTTTACTTTTTTATTAATTGGTTGATTATCTTGTTTCACTTTAGGGTTTGATTTAATAATAGGGCTTTCAAAATCGAAGTTTTCTTTACGTACATCGTTTATGATACTGTCAGTAGAATTTGATTTAATCATTTTCTCAGACGGTTCTAAAAAAATATTTGTCGGTGTGATGTATTCTTCTGAAATAAACACGAATAAAACATTTTATTTATTGTAAGACATTGCATCTTTATTGTAAGAAATCATAAACGGTTTACAATGGGCGGAGTTTATGCCTTATGGCGTTCTCTATCAGTTAACCCAGGGAGAGAGATAGAGAAATTATAATATTTTACATAATTATACAAAATAACGTTGCTAGATATAAAGTATGACATCAAAAACATAACTTGTAAAAAAACCAAGTCTCGCAACTCAGTTCTTCTACCGTAAAAAGTTGTGATCTCCATGTAATACCAAGTCGGTTAATTTATTCAGTCCCTACTTAAGGGTCCTTCTGTCTTAAGTTATTACGTAATTAGCTAACCTAACAACATCTTATAGTGGCCACATCAATACTAAATAGATTGACTTGGCCATCGCATGAAAACGCAATGTATCCTCTCAAGTAATAGATATTATATTAAATTAGATTGTTTAGTGATAGTAGATTAAGCGTCAGTAGCCTAATGGAAGATCGCGGACCGCTAACTCGAATGGTCGTGGGTTCGAATTCGCCATTCGACTAGTACCGTGAACCACTTCTAACACAAGCATAAAAGCTTAAAAGCTTACCAGAAGTGGTTAAAGGGAATATTAGTAATGTTTAAAGCATTACTAGTATTTAAAAAAATGTATGCATGTACTAGCTTCTACCTGACCTGGTAATTACAGAAGTTTTTTTACACGTGTATTTCAAAGATACAACGTATAACAGCTTAGTGGCGCAGTGTTTATGTTTTTATAGCATAAAGGTGACATACTGAGGACACAGTCACCTGATGGCAAGTGGACGCTGTGGCCGTCAGATATCTACATCAATGCTGATTTTACAGCCTGTTATTGTACCGGTTCTTAGAGGCGGATTAAATGTCAACAGCGCCTTAGGCTAGCACCACATCGGCGCCCCTCTGGCGGTTATATATTATAAATTATAACTACTTATTTTGCAAATAACTATGTTACAAATTATAATATAGTTTCAGGAGAGAACATGAGAGTGGTGTTAAATAAAAATCTACTTCAGGAGTGTGCCAGCATCGATAATACTGGAGAATGCTTCACTGGGAATCTACGCCCAAATTATCTTTCTCCTGGGCGTGGATGCTCCGGCTGACCCGTGTATTCTGTGGGGAAGGCACAACACCGCTTTGTACACATTCTACGCGAGGCAAACGGAGCAAAATCACTACTCAGCCTATCCTTATCTACACTCACCATATGAAACAGCAGCAATAACCTGCTATTCTGTGAGAGCGTGGTTCTTTCCCGATTGAGTCGATCCATTTGTGCTACAATCATAATATAGTTGCAGCATTGTTCTACCATCTATATCCACTCAAACGTCCATAGATACTACGGTATCCAAAATAAAAGTAGCGTTGTACGTCCTGGATACTATAGTATCCATAGCGTCAAGTTTTATAAAACTGACATCTATGGACAGCTGTGGTTATTTTTGTGAGTTTTGTACATGGAAGTCTATAGCTGACGAACTATTTTACGTAGTAAATACGAAATGGCAGTGCAACAAGCCTTGACAAATGTAGAAATATTTTTTTTAATTTTTTTTTATAGGAGAGGGGGCAAACGAGCATGCGGCTCGCCTAATGGTAAGTGACTACCGTCGCCCATGAACAACTGCAACACCAGGGAGGGAATTGCAGATGCATTGCCGGCCTTTTAAAAAGGAGTACGCTCTTTTCTTGAAGGTCCCTAAGTCGTATCGGTCCGAAAAAATCGATGATGGTAATCGATTCCACAAGGAAGTCGTGCGAGGAAGAAAACATCTTCTAAATCGTACAGTGGTGGACCGCCAATCATCCAGATGGTGTGGATGGTATCGGGAGTTCTGTCGCGATGTGCGTTCGTGAAATTTGGCGGCTGGGATTAATCCGAACAATTCCTCAGAGCACTCCCCGTGGTAGATGCGAAAGAAAATGCAAAGGGATGCAACTTCGCAGTGCCAATGAATCGAGCCGATCGGAAAGGACTCGGTAGTCGACGATTCGAGCCGCTCTGCGCTAGATGCGGTCAAGTGGAAGGAGCTGGCACTGGGGAGCCCCTGCCCAGAAATGGGAACAGTATTCCATGTGAGGCCGAACCTGCGCCTTGTAAAGTTGCAGGCGGTGTGCCGGCATGAAATACTGTCCCGCTCTGCTGAGCACGCCAAGCTTTTTAGAGGCCAATTTGGCCTTCTCTTCCAAGTGACCACGAAACTGCACGTCACTCTATATGTCGACTCCGAGGATTCCGATACTGGCTGCGGCAACAAGGTGAGTGCCTTGAAACTGAGGAGACACGACAAAGGGGTTCTTTTTAGCGGTAAACACACACACAAGTTTCAGTTGTGTCTTCTGAGGATTAAACTGGACTAGATTTAGTCGCCCCCAATCCGAGACTTTGTTCAGCAAAGACTCGATTTCAGACACAAGTTTGTTCCGGTACTCGGCGACGTTTTCCCGAGAAATATTGGCACGGCCAGTGTATAGAGCATCACCAGTGCTGTCATCCGCATAGCAATAAATGCTACCAGTTAGCAACATATCATTGATATGCAGAAGAAACAGCGTTGGTGATAGATAGCACACAGCCTTGTGGAACACCAACGTTAATAGGCGTGTAGTCGGAGCATGTACCGTCTACAACGACCTTGATGCTCCGATCTGCAAGGAAGCTGGTGATCCAATTGCACAATTTCTCGGGAAGCCCATAGGAAGGCAGCTTCGAAAGAAGCGCTTTGTGCCAAACCCGATCGAAGGCCTTCGCAATGTCCAAACTAACGGCCAACGCCTCCCCCTTGGACTCTACTGCCTCCGCCCATCTATGGGTCAGGTAGACCAGAAGATCAGCAGCTGATCGACCACGACGAAAACCGTATTGGCGGTCACTAATCAGCTGGTGATCCTCAAGGTACCGCATGAGCTGGCAGTTAATAATGGATTCCATTATTTTGGAGAACAAGGAGGTGATTATAAATTATCTAACTTCAGTGCTTCAGTCTACTCTACACTCGGTGTTTTGTGTTTTTGTAGTGCCAGCGATTATGTCGTAAGTCTTTTAGTTTTATTTAATATTTCTTAGATTATTATACATCATAGTACACTAGAACTACATGATTTGGGCTTTATAATTACGTATACATATCACAGTTCTAAGCGTAAAATCGAGTCATATTTTAAATAAAAACTATAAACAGATACTGGCAGGCGCTAATGTAAGAAATTATATATTTTTAATATTATATGCCAGCTATTTATGAAACTTTAAACGGATTGAATAGTTATGAATTAAGATATTTAATTGTAAATGAATCAGTGCAATTCTACTTTTATAAATATTATTATCAATCACATTTCAAAATTGTGTGACAAAATTGTGCGAACGACCCATAAACGTTAGCCGCCTGATGCGTACCGAGAGAAAACAGCAGCAACTTCTATTAGTTTAAACATTCTAGATAGCAAGTAAGAGTACTTTTACCTATCAGCTGCCAACTAAGTCTTTGCGTTATAGCATGGTGCGGGTGACAGTTTACACTTTTGGCGTGTCTAAAGATGGAACATTGTTAAATCGATTAAAAAAAAATTAACGATACATAAAGCAAAGCAAAAATTATCGATATAAAATTAAAAAACCGAAACATATATTTCTTTATAAACTACAATGCAATTAAGTTAAAGGTTAATACAAATTATGACATAATAGTTACATAATAGCTGTTTCCGGACCTTGACCGCTTGGTATTTAATACGATTGGATTTCACGGGTTTCAATTTTTTTGCGCGGTATCCTAATTTTTTTTTGAGCTGATCTGACCAACGAATAATTTATCGTCCATGCATCGGAAACGCTGCATATTCGTCTATGTGAGTTTTGTTTCTGTTTGCGCCAAACGTTAAAATTTAAAATTTCTATAATTGAGACTAGTTAGCGCGCTTCGTCGATTGTACGCGGCTAGCAGGCACCTCCCCGCCCGGCGAGCGGTGCCGGAGTCCGGGTAGCTGCCGACTTCAACGGTCCATTCAGGTCAACCACAATACACACCACTAAAAACACAACTACACATTCACATACACACCTCCGTCCTGACCGAACCTTAAGACAGTCGTCGCGTCAGATACAGGTAAGTACTCTTTATTTGACCAGCCTTCCCATTAAAATGTAGTAGGATAGAACATTTTCCATACGGCCAGTTGGGTCCCCACACTTAGTTGCCCGTCAGGGACCAATACACCTAAAAGCTGTATTGGCCCCTGTCTGGTAGACCTTAGTCTGGGCAACTAGGTGCGTGAACAGTTTCCGTAAATCAGAATTAGTTGAACGATTAGTTCCAATTCCATTATTGTGATTTTTATATATTTGATTTATTTCAAAACAAATTAGTCTGTGATTGTTCAGTTGTGCCACACTAAATTATGCCATGTCATAACATGACATAATTTAGCATAGCACAACACTGTAGTAAGTGGGCGGTACCCGTCCATGAAGCACAACAATATCTGTATGAGAGTTTATCTAAAAAAAATACGAAACTTCATAAGCGTGAAAACAAAGCTGGGTGACAGCTCACGCCTATAAAGTTTAGTTTTTTTTTTACCACCATGCTATAACGCAAAGACTATTATAATAACACTAGGAAATTTGAAAGATAGGTGGTTGCTTACCAGTTGTTAGCATATCATTAATTCCTATGAGATTAATACATCTTAGTAACATACATACTGGCTGCATCTATACAGGGTCAAGATATTTTTGAAATATATTAATAC